TAACCGAATAAGTGTTCAGAAAAACGGCCGTACCTTTAAAGGAAAGCTGTCAAATCGTGAATGTGAGGTGACCGGTAACGATCAGAATAGGTTTTCGTATCCAGTTACCGATAGTCACCAGCCGGATGCCAATCGTTGATGTCTTTTTTAGGGACAGTGTGCAAGGGTTATACCTATGGGCTGTTCGATGGCTGAATACTTATCGAGTCTGCCATGTAGTCTTTGGCCAACCTCAGTTTTTCGGTAGCTAGTCGACTAAACTCCGTTTGCACGTTTGGACAAGTAGATTATGCTGTTGTGGTGGGTCTATACCAATAAACGGAATTGACCCACCTGCAACAACGAAAGTCCAGTGAATGTGTTCGCGTAAACTCACGTCAAGATGCACGCATCGTCTACCGTATGCGGCAATCGGTCTCCCTTTTGGTGCCTGCAATTTGAATATTGGCTAGTGGATTCGATCGTCATAGTTTAAAGAAAGAACGCTAGCTTCGGCGCCGGTATCGACAAGATAGTATACATCCGTCATCACATCAGTGGTGTACAACGGACGGCTGTGCTCGCCGGCTACGGCTATTGTTACACATGCCGGCTAAGAAGTTTCTCGAATGGTTTACCATGTCGTACGGTTTTAAGACTGGGAAACTGCAAGGCTTTCAGTGGTTTCTAGAAGACTTTCAGTAATTGTTGTGACACCAACACCAATCAGGATTGTCTGCTTCTCGTGGTATAGAGATAGATCTTTTTCGTGACCGACTTCTTCGAGGGTCTTGGGAACGTCTACGATTATGATGAATATTAGGATAACGAGTGAGAGTATGACAGCGGTCAGTAACATCGTTTTGTGTTTTCTGAGGTTTTTTTTGACAGAATAATCCCCGGGAACGAGGGGTTCTGATGATCTTCAGAATCCAGTCGGCAGATGCATTCATCTACAACGTTATTCTAAAATGGGATTAGGACTGACTACACTTGGTGGGGAAGCTTAGATAAGGAGAGTTGTCTGAACAGGTCATCGTCAAAGGTCCGTTGACCTGTGACTTGTCGAAGCTGTAGCAATATTTCTGTTGTCAAGTCATTGTGCAGCTCGATGTTGTGGAAAAGTTGATTAAATCGTTGTCGGTCGTCAGGTGCCTACGTCTAAGAACAGCCTTCTTCAAGCAGTCGTAAAGTCCTCGCACATTACTAGAAAACAGACTAGGTGCGAAGTGCCTGTTAAAATCGCACGGTAGTGCTTTCACTGTTGGGAAAACTTGTGCGCGTCGGTCTCTTACACCATGCTCATGAAACTCTCCCACTGCATAGCAGAACCAGGCTTTCATATTGTTGGATCAGAGTGACATAAGTTGAAAAAACGTGGGAGGGTCCTAATATCAAACAGCTTTAGTATATGTCCTGTGACGATAAACACACAATATACTGATAAGCGGATGGGAAACAATCGTCCGAAAATATGAAAGCAATATCACATTATGTAGAAATAGAAATTTTAAAAAAATGATAAGATGATGTTCCGACAATGTGCAGACTCATAGTTTACTGTTTGGTGTACCAGATCACATCGGTCTCACCACTAAAGGTATCAAAGATTAGTTAATTATGTCACTGCTAAAACTCTTTTTGACTCCGTATACAGTGTTCTTTTGTCCTAAAGTGGAGTGTTTCATACAGTCGGCTGGCGTCTAGCTAAAAGTGGTCAGTGAGTTGTTAGAAAAGATTCAACGAACCGGAATAACAAAGCTTCCATATAGTGGCCAACAGACTAAACCAAGTCTATCTTAGTTCTTTTGTCTTACAAAATGTAGGGTTTATGAAAATACTTAAAGTGTTCACAAGCCCCGAACAAATCACTTGTCAGCTGACCATCGACTTTCCCATCGAGTCATCAACAAATGGAATTCATTACTTCGTCTGTCGACGCTTTCAGAAGAAATTCGGTTAGACTGAGAGACCACAATTGCCATGATTGAAGATGCCACAGGTACTCGGAGTTTGACAACGCTTCAACCAGTAACATGTATTATGAATCGTATCCACCAAGTGAAATCAAAAGACAGAAGCGAGCAGGTTCAAAGATATATTTGGTAGGTTATCAATATATTGAGGATCGTTTGATCTAATCTGGCTACCGATTGCAAGGGATGTTGAGCATGGCGTTCTCACTCGTGATCTGGTGCGTATGCATGACCGAGCGCCTTCAGCTAGCTGAGTCCATTAAAACTAATGTGGTCATCATCCAATGTTGAAAACTTACGGAGCTATTTATTTTGGGGATTTGTTTGTCGCTACATGACCAACACAAGCCATACAGCTCCCGTGACTTAACGGACATATTGTGCCTGCTCCCGTCCTTCGAGGATATACCGTAGTCCGTCTTGTCTTGCTGACGACTATATCCTAAGACACATCTGTTCTTGGAGTATGGCAGAATGTTGTCTCATCATTGGGGACTTCAACGCACCGCATATCAACTGGATAGAGCTTACAGCTCCAGGTAGTGGTTTTGATAGCGACCTTTTATCTACCGTTATTCAGTGTGCACTTGTACAATGTATCACAAAACCGACATATATTGATTTGCAACATGTTCCGTCACTGCTGGACCTCGCCCTCACCCACCACTCTGAGGATGTCCTTGATATCCAGCACCTTCCTCCACTAGTGAACAGTAATCACGTTGTAATTCACTTTAAGTTTAGGACACATGGTATACAATTCGTATCTGCTCCACCCCGTCCCAATATCTGGCGAGCCAATATTCCAGAAATCAGAAACTGTGCTATCTCGACTGATTGGTCGGTCGACGCGGATGGATTGATCGAAGATGAATGGAATAAGTTTAAGGCTACATTCGAGTCCGTAACGTCGCCGTTTATCCCATGGGCAGCACGTAAGTTATCACATTGCCCTCCATGGATTAATAAGGAAACCCGGAAGCTGTTAAAGCGTAGAAAACATTTCTGGGACTTATTCTTGTTGACAGGTCATGCACCATTTAAGCGTGAGTACCAAAAATACCGTAATATCTGTAAGAAAACCATAGCCAAATCTCGTACCACTTACGAACGACAGTTAGTATATGATAGCCGTACTTGTCCGAAACGATTGTTTTCGTATGTTAAACGGCAAATGAAACGTAGTGATAGTATTCCCCCGTTACTGTTACACGACAATTCAGAATTACTAGCTGAATCAGATCGAGCAAAAGCTGAGACTTTTTCAGACTACTTTAGCGAAGTCTTCTCTACGTTTATTGTAACAAATACTTGTCCCACTCACACCGAGATACCAACCATCGAATCTGTACAGGTGACTGAGGAAACTGTCCTTCCGTTGATAACTAACCTCAAACCTGGTAAGACACCGGGCCCTGACGGGTTACATCCACGGTTGCTGTCATTTCTTACGGACATTATTTCAAAACCGCTTGCGACACTCTTCAACATGTCCCTTTCACTCGCTCAACTCCCTAGAGTTTGGAAGGACGCTATAGTCAGTCCTGTATTTAAAGACGGTCAGAGACATATAGTATTTAACTACTGGCCCGTTAGTCTGAATAGCATAGTCGTTAAGTTACTTGAAAAGTTAATTCGGGTTAGGTTGCTAAGCCACATAGATTTACATGATCTGTTAGCTCCTGAGTAACACGGATTTCGTAACAAGCGTTCATGCTTGACTAACTTGCTTATTGCGAGGGAGGATTGGACAGCAGCCCTAGATAACGGTCTGTCTGTCGATGTGATATTCATAGATTTTAGCAGAGCATTTGACAAGGTTTCACACATAGGTCTTATGCAGAAGCTCACGAGCTTCGGAATAATAGGTACTGTACATGAGTGGATAGGAAATTTCTTATGTGACCGCAGACAGAGAGTTAGGGTCAACGGAACGCTATCCGATTGGAAGCCGGTCAAAAGTGGTGCACCCCAAGGCACCATCTTAGGCCCTCTGCTCTTCCTTCTCTACGTTAATGATTTACCGCTGTTACTTAGGTCGTCGACATTATTGTTTGCGGATGATGTAAAAATCTGGAGAACAATAAAAAGTGCGGCTGATCATCTGGATCTTCAAGCTGACTTAGACGATTTAGTTAGATGGGCTCGAGAGTGGGGCTTAGAAATCAATGCTAGGAAGAGTGTACTAATGCACATCGGTCACGGTAATAGTTACCGTTACACTATTGAGGGTAAACCTCTTCCATGCGTTCAAGAGCATAAAGACTTAGGAGTAATATTAAGTCATGATTTAAAAACAACTAAGCATTGCAAAGCAGCCGCTGTCAAAGGTTTTCGTGCGTTATGGTCACTTCGCCGAGCGTTCAAATCTTTTGACGAGGAAATGTTTAGAATTTTATATCCCATATATGTTAGACCACATTTAGAGTACTGTATCCAAGCAGCTAGCCCGTGTCTGGTAAAGGATACTAACTCCCTTGAGCGTGTCCAGCGTGTGGGAACGAAATTAGTGAAGGGTCTTTCTAGACTCCCTTACGATGAGCGTTTAAAGCGCCTAAATCTTTTCCCCTTGTCGTATCGTAGGACACGAGGTGACCTTATACTGGCATTTCGTATCTTTAATTATGATTTGGGTGTTGATATGTCTAATCTTTTTGCTCCCTCCAGCACTATTAATCTCTGAGGTCATAGCAAGAAGGTTCATATACCACGATCTAATAAACTTAAAGTGGGATCCCGTTTTTCTCATCGAGTAGTCAATGATTGGAACGCCTTACCCGAACAAGTGGTATCAGCCCCATCAGTGAATACTTTCAAGGAAAAGCTGGACCTTCACTGGAAAGCAATGTGTCAGGATTAACACAGGTTCATCAACCTACTATCCTTATTACTGAAGACTGAAACTTAGACTGAAACTGCGGTACTATTTGGACCGAAACATTTGTTACGAACTATGTCAGGTCAGTAAATTATACAGCTGAGGCAACAAGTCAGATGAAGAAGTTCATATGTTCAGGGTGTTGTGTAGAGTGACCGAATGTATGAGGGAAATGCAATTTTTGAACAAACACTATTGATTACTCTCCCAAGGTCACCTCCGTGTTTGTAATACTCACTTACCATCTAATGCTATTTCACAGTTTGTTTAGGTTAAGGTAAGCATAACAAATCAACTTTAAAGGTCTACCCGAAATCACTTTTTAGTCCTCGGTTTATCTGTATATCTCGGATTGTCCGTTCAAACACTTCAAGGTCAATCGTCGCCGCTATGACACATCGCGAGTCAATACGGCCTGTCATCACGTCAGATCTATGTTCTCAGGACTTCGATTCTGTTGTACTTGTGGTCGAAGACGTGTCAGATGCATTCTCGTTTACTCCTCTGTTTGAAACGTTACAAGAAGCATCACAGGTCTGTGTGAAGGACGGTTATAATTTTTTTAGGTGAACCAGAAATTCTCTTCAGATGTCCACACCTTGACTTGTCGTTCTTTACCATCTAAACGTTTGGTATGTTGATGTTCATTTATAAAGTCTCCTAGGTCGTTTCGTTTACTGGTCACCTTGATCAAGACATTGATGATGCTCGTCGAATAACTGAAGCATCGACGAAAGGTATATCTCAGTAAGTAAATGTGAGGTATAAAAGGCAGGTGGTTACAATATGAAAAGACTTATATGAGGGTAGGCAACCTCAATCACTTAATTCAGTCATATATCAGCTCAGATTGTTTGCTGAAGTCTGATCTCACTATCTCCCATATCTCTATGATAAGCACATGTAAATCATTGATAAGTAGTTTCATCTAGATATCACATTACTCAGCAAACATCTGGTGGTTAGGTGTAAAATTAAAATAAAAAAGGTAAACGTGGGGTTCAGAATAAACAACCAAAGTACGATGGGCAAGTTTATAATTATGTAAAAGTAACAAACAGTAAATAACTCCACCAACTGATACCACGTTTGAGCTTTGGCACACCTACCTTTCTCCTTACTTCTGATATTCAATATTACACGTTGGTTAGGTGTTGGTTGGGCGTACGTAATATACGTCCTGATTTTCTCAATTGAAAGGTGTTCAGAATCTTATTAACCAATTTGCCATTTTTGCCTGGTACTGTACGTTTAAACTTTCCATCGCTCTGTGGTTTCAACATGCACCTGCAGTGCTATAGCTACACCTACGGTCAAGAACTTGAAGTTTACAAATTTGTTCTATTATTTGTATTTGGCGTCTCTAAAGCAACACAGCGAACTGCTGTGTAGTGTACTCGTCCCTTCGATGGCAGACGGATATCTCAAACCAGATAAGCTTTTTAAACTAGTGCTAAGATTAAATCAGCCATCGATCCACCAGGTCTGATGAAACTTAATAAAAAAGCAAGGTAGAAAACTCATTCAATAACTTTGCTGTCGATCATTAGTTTCTCATTGACAAATCAGCCTTAGAGCAGTATATTTCTTTAGAGGGAGAAAAAAGCATCCCAAATATACCAACATTAGTGCATTACTCAAGACGATCATAAATCCCTGTATTCTATTAGCGTCTTCACCTGAGATTATATACTGTATATTTATAGTCCATAAGTGAGCTTCTTAGAATATCAATCCCTGAATTCAGACAAAAGAAGGGATATTACTAAAAGTATGATAAAGTTGATTAAAACAACAGGGATAATTAACAACTCTAGAAGACTACTTGAAGTTGGCAATTTCAATGAAAGTTAACCATAACCATTACTTCAACTAATAGTGTCCAAGTAAAGATCTCACGATTTTTATGTACTTCTTCGGTATGCCTTGAGGTCTAGAATCACAACTGTTAGCGGTAAGTATGCCAATGTTTTAAAGCCTGACGAATGATAAATGATTGACCTATATACGCTTATCAAGATCAAAACCCACCCCGGTTTTACGGAGTTTGTTATTTGTCAGTTCCAGACGATCAATTAATGATTATTAAGGTTAATGCTTTAGATATTTTATTAGTCAAACCGTTTTTTTGGTTACCAAAAGAAAGCCTTAGTTATTTCTGGACTAAGACATCCAACCGTCGAGGCCTGTCGGGCAAGATTTTTCCCGGCTCCAAACATCCAGATAGTATTTCAGTCAACCTGACTGTTAAAAATGTTCCACAATTCTTAAAAGCCTCTGGAGTTAAACCGTCGAGCCTCATAGAACTGTATATTTCACCAAGATCAGTAGTACTTCTCAAGCGTTCATAGTTCAGCCACCAGCTCATAAGGAGTTTATTTCTCTTTCTGCTTAACTAGGTTTGATGTAATTTGTACTTTAAACATACTATCATCCGAAAACTACACATCTTTCACCGTGGTATGGAACTATTCTTTCACAGTTGTGAGGCTAACATGCAAACACGGTATGACCTTATTCTACCATTCATCTAAATCGCTTCATGTTATATAATCTATAGCTAAATTCACTGAACGTCTTACATATTTCTACGAGATATTAGCTGGTCGGAGCGCACTTATACTTCATCAAAATCCTACATTATTCCAAATGGGCTGTATGTTTTTTTTAGAGCTATCAAAATCGGATCTAAAAGACCTCTCCTTCTGTTGGGTCCATTAAAAACGGCTAAAAAGTTGGAACACTCTTGGCTTGAACCATCCGTTTCTTGTTTGGCGTCTTTGCTCGGTGCCTTCCATGCTTTGTATGTGGTAAGTCTCCGGTGTTTATTAAAAAGTATTTTTACGGTTTGATTAGTGCATTAGTTACAGGATGCTTGAGACAATTCTGGTTCTTGATGACTAAATTAGAGGAAAGTCAGTCAACTCTAACGTAGGACCAGGCACACATATGCATCGGTCCAACTTACCACACTTCATAAGCACAAGATGAACACCGACTTCACTTGTAATATATAAAAGAAAGGTTGTGCATAAGGATATAATATTGGAAGAAAGAATTAGCTGGTAGAAATGAAGGTACAAAGTAATTTTAATCTCACAGCCTAAAAGAAGACAAAGTGTATACACCTACGCCATTATGATCGATTCTGAGCCATGTCACTCACTCCTCAACCATTGGTTACGATAGCCAACTAAGTAGTTTGCATCTACCAACATGGTTAAGACTAGAAGTCAGTGACTTCAAGCACTGATGCCACGTTTTGGTTTGACAGCCCCTAACATTCTTCCAACCATCCCCTACACTAGTCAGCATTGCGCTTCGTGGTAATCGGTGTTCAAGCATACGTAACATGTGGCCCAATCATCTCAGTCGATGTAGATTTGCAACCTCATCAACTGATTTACCATCATTCCCTAATACCTTGCGTCTAACCTCACTATTCATTACCCGGTGATCCCAGCAGATATGAGAAATATTTCTAAGACATCTGTGGTCAAATACTAGTTGCTTACGACTATCTAATCTCAATGGCCATGTTTCGCAGTCGTAAAGTAGAACAGAACGAACTTCTGCGCAGTATACTCGTCCCTTAATTGATAGACAGATATTTCGCTTTTGCCATAGATGACGTAAATTGGTAAAAGCCAAACGAACGTTTTGAATCGGTGCATAGATTTCGTCATACACCAACCCATCAGGGCTGACCAGGCTTCCAAGATAAGTGAAGTTATCAACGCATGTGACTACACTGCTTATCCTTGGTCCAGGTGTTGACGCAGGACATTCTTGGACTAATAACTTGCATTTAGAGGGGGGTAAATGCATCCCAAACATCCTGGGATTGTTGCTCAGTGTCACCAAAAGATCCAGATTTGTGTAGTAGGGATAAAATGCCTATGGTCTATGTTACTCCTTTTCTAGTATGCTTCTGTGAATGTCCAGTCTTCTCTTGAAACAGCCAATTAAAGGTGCGGACACCACTGCTTTGGGCAGCAGGTTCCAGGTAGTGATGACTCGGTGTGAGAACCTGTATTCCACGGGTATTTTGTTCGTTAATGGCTTTTCTACTAGGCTGCTATGTCCTTTGAGATGTCCCGACCTAGTGGGAAGAATAAGTTAGGTCCAAAATCATTTTTCAGTATTCTATACATGAAAATTAGATCTCTCCCCTTAGTCTGCGATAGGACAGAGTAAAGAGGTCCAGTTTTTCAAACCGCCCTTTGTATGGTAAACCCCAGAGTTCTGGAATTTCACGGTCAACTGTCCTCCGTACTTTTTCTAGAATATCCGAGTCACCTTTTAATCAGGGGCTTGCATCCTGGACGCAGTTCGTAAGCTTAGTTCTCACTAAAATCGTGTATACTTTAGTGAACATGGTAATATCTAACTTAGTGAGTGTCCGTTTTAAAGCCCAGAGGGTTCTAAACCTCTTAGCTGCGACCTCTCGGCAATGGGCTGTCTTCTTAAGATCATGACTCACTGTCACCCCTAGATCCTTATGAGACCAGATCACGAGTATTGGCAGTTCTCCTATGCTGTACCTATTAACCTTTGTATCCCCAAAGTGCATGTAGACACTGCCGCGTTGATAGTCAATCAGTCAGTAACAACGTAGAACTTCGTACGTACGTACATCACTTCGAGTTGCCACACTACACTAGCACAGAGATGCAGTGGTCGATTCAAATCCCGTAGTGCTAGATGTCAGTCAGTCAGCTACAACGTAGGACCGGCACATACATGCATCGGTCCAGGTTGCCATACCTCATTAGCACAGCAAGATGAAAACCAGATTCATAGGAGTGGTTAGGTTAAAGGTGGTAATATATAAGAGAAAGATTGCATATAAGGATACAGTACCGGAATATAGAATTAGTTCGTAGAAAGAAAGATATGAAGCGATTTTAATCTCTTAGTTTAAGGGAAGACAGGGAGTGTATACTCCGACGCCATTGTGACCGATTCTGAGCCATGTCACCAAGAGTCTCCAACCATTGGTTACGAAAGTCACGCGGATGTAGTAAAATTATAAGCTGTAATCAGAAAAATTAGGGTTCGAAGATGTTATTTAAAGAATATAATTCAGTGAAATAAATTTGGAAAGAGGAAAAAAGGGACATGAAGAATTCAGAAGATTAGAATTTGGGAGAACACAAAGAGTGGATGCACCTGCGCCATTGCAAACGATTTTGAGCCATGTCATTCAGGGTCTCTAACCATCGGTTGCTATCATCTCGCGGTCCCCAACCAGGTAGTCTACACCTACCAACATGACTCAGTCCACTTGTCAGTGACTTCATGGATTTGTGCCATATGTTGGCCTGACCGCCCTTAGCTTTCTTCCAACCTACTCCTATAGCACTGAACATCGCACGTCGAGGCAGTCGGTGGTTTTAGCATACGTAACATGTCCCAGCCATCTCAACTGATGAAGTTTCACTACGCCATCGATTGATTTGTCATCCTTACCTAATACCCGTTTCCTAACAACTGCAGTACTTACTCGGTGGTCCCAGTATATACGAGCAATATTTCGAAGACACCTATGGTCAAATACTAATAACCTACGGATATCCTCTACTCCTACCGACCACGTTTCACTGTCATAAAATAAGATGGAACGAACTGCTGCACAGTAAACACGTCCTTTGGTTGATAGACGGATATCTCGCCTACGCCATAAATGACGCAAGTTAGCAAAAGCTAGTCGAGCCTTCTGTATCCGTGCTGAGATTTCGTCACACACCAGACCACAAGGGCTGATGGGACTTCCAAGATAAGTGAAGCGATCGACACGCTCAACTACTTCACTCCCTATCATTAGTTCGGGTGTCAATGCCATCCAATCCTGAAGCAACATTTTGCATTTCGAGGGGAAGAATCGCATCCCAAACATGCTTGCATTGTTGCTAAGAGTGGTCAGAAGACTGCATTTTGTCAGCGTCTTCACCAAATAGAACTATGTTATCAGCATATTCTAAGTCAACAAGTGAACCTTCTGGTAGAAGTTCAACCCTGGAAATCTAAACGAGGAAAGTGTTATCTCTAAAAGTACGTCCACGACAAAGTTGAACAAGAATGGAGAGAGTGGACAGCCCTGACGAACACCACTTGAGGTAATCGATTCTGATGACAGTTCGCCATAAGCTCTCACTCTACCAGTTGTGTTCGAGTAGAGAGCCTTTACAAGGTTAATGCACTTCTTTGGTACTCTTTTCAGTGACAAACACTGCCATAGAACCTTACGATCAACAGAGTCGAATGCAGCCTTAAGGTCGAGAAATACTACCATTGTGGGGCGTCTGAATGTGTGTCTGTATTTTAGAACCTGATGTAGTGTGAATATTTGGTCCATACAACCACGTCCAGGTCGAAAACCAGCCTGATTTTCTCTAGTCTGTTCTTCACGAGCTTTGGTTAGGCGTCGAAGTATTATTGAAGCTAATATTTTAGACACTATATTTATCAAACTGATTTTTCTGTGACACAAGAGGACTTTTGCCCTTCCTTATAGACTGGCACAATCAGTGATTGAGACCAGTCAGATGGGATTACGTCCAGTTCCCAGATTCTACCTAAGACCTCGGTTAATTTCATTGCTAATACTGGACCACCATTCTTAAAACTCTCAGAAATAAACCTGTCAGGGCCTGCTGCTCTCCCTCGCTTCAGATTTCCTATGGTTTTTTCAACTTCGTAAAGAGACGGAGGACCTAAATTAACTTGCCATTCAGGTTGACTGGAGATCTTGGGAAACCAAATTATGGCTGAAGGCCAGTTGAACTGATCCCTAAAGTGCTCTGCCCATCGATCCAATCTCCTGGATTGAGAATGAATAATATGTCCATCTTTCTCTGAGAGTTTCGCTAACAGACGGTTTCCTAATACCGGTTTCCTTAACAAGTCTGAACAATTGTCTGCTATTACTTATTGCGGCTGCCTTTTCCATCTCTCTTGCTTTCGCTACCCACCACTGTTCACGATCATTGCGTAGACTTCTTGTCAGCTTGCGCTTAAGCTGACTCCGCTCTTCATTATGTTCAGAGCCAGGTGGAATGAGTTTCTGAGCATCTATCAGTGCGATAGATGCTCCTGAGATCCAGTGTTGCTCCCTAACCTTGTGGTTTACCTTACTAGCAGATATCACTGCTGTTTCCACAGCTTTTCGGATATCATTCCATGCTGTCTCGGGGTGGGCATCACATACATGGCTGCCTAACTGTTTTTCTAGTTGTTCCTGAAATATACCCTTAGCTTGACTATCATTAAGAAGGCCCCTAAGAGATTTCCTTGCAGCGTCTTTCCTACGTCCAGTAAGACGCAGGCAAATGCGCGCTCGTACTAGAGCATGGTCTGAATCTAAGCATGTGCTCCAGAATGAGCGACAGTCTTATATCGTGCCCCTCCATCGGTGGCTGATAGCGATGTGATCTATTTGGGTCCAACATTGGGACGGATTAGGGGGTCTCCATGTTAAAAGATGTTTTTCCTTATGCTTAAAGTTAGTATTTGCAAGGAACAGGCGGTTATCTGAGCATAGCTGCAACAGACGGTCGCCATTATCTGCTATAAGATCCACCCAGGTGTCTTAGTTTACCTACTTGAGCATTAAAGTCACCGGCCACTATTACTACATCCGAGCACCTAGCTTTTCGGAGGTCGGAGAGCTTTATGTAAGACTCATTTTTTACATCATCCGAGCTGCAGTCAGTGGGAGAATAGGTAGAGACGACGAATAGGCAACGATGAGTGTCCCTATCTTTTCGGATCCTTACTGTTCCGTTCAGTCGGACGGCGCACAAACGACTGTCTACTGGGATCCACTCTAAGAGAGCTAGTTCTGCCCTAGGACTCAATGCTATACCTACGCCGGCGAGGGCACGGTAAGCAGAATCAGGGCTTCCAGGTACACGAAGTGTGAATTGAGTCGGTTCTTTATTTTGACATGGTGATGTCGAATGAATGATGCTACTCGGATCCTGTATGCGCGTTTCGGAGACGCAGCACACATCGATGGCGCGGGATTCTAATGTCCTAGCTAAGGAAGCCTGCTGTCCTATTTGGCACAGTGTTCGGACGTTAAAAGCTCCTACATGTAGTTTAGAGCGTGGTTTCAGGAGACTAGGAATAGCGTTCCGCGTACTCAAATCGTTTGCCCTGGCGGTGCGAGGTGATAAAGAGACGTGAGGAGGGTTAGTCATGGAGAGTTATTAGGAGGTGTAGGAAGGATTTGAATGTGACCAACTTGGTCTCGTGTGCTGTTACGGGTATGAGGGCTGATATCACTTCCCGGCTGCCCACACCGTGGAAGGGTATTTCTTGAGGAATCTGAAAAGGAAATTGAATTAGTGTTGGTCTTAACGACCTGGGAGCGTGACCGCAGAGCCTAAGGGACAACTGCTTGAGGCCGGTCGCGCACGGCCTTTTTGTGGAAGGTTTTTAATGTGTTAGCTCCGTTCTTCGAAGGGCCTTACCACCGGAGACGGAAACCCGTGAGGTAAGTTGAGGTGTGACATTTTTAGGGTCGACCTTTTCTAACCCCGCCCCTCCTTGTGGGAAGGCGGAATCGCTGCAGATGCTGGTTGTCTGAGGAAAGCACCTTACTGCTGTCACACCCCTCTACAGTCAGAAGTACGACTTCGCCCTCAGACCTTGAGTTGCTGCTTTTAGTCTTACCGTTCTCCAATCGACCTGCCTCGCATGGTAGAACCTACAGGAACAAATTTCTCAGCCAATATAGCTCGGTTGGGTCATCACGATAGGCGAACTCGACCACCGCATCAAGGTAGCAGCTTCAGTTGATAGGCTTCAGCCACTCTTTAGACCTGCCAATCATATTATTTAAGTCTGCCTGAAGAGCACATGCGTCTTCGTCTCCAGTTATTACTCGCCAGATTTTTACATCGTCGGCGTATAATAACATTGGGGACTGTACTATACTTGGAAGATCATTTACATACAGTGTAAAAAGTAAAGGACCTAGGACGAAACCTCGAGGCACTCCACTAAGTACTGGTCTCCAGATGGAGCACTTGGGATTTATTCTTTCTTTCTGTCGACGACCTACTAGGAAATCCTTAAGCCATTTCAAAGGAGGTCCAGCAATACCAAGGTTTTCTAACTTCAATAGCAGTCTGTTAGTTGGCACCTTATCAAAAGCCTCACTGAAGTCTATGTAGACAATATCCACTGAGTTTCCATTGTTTATTGCCTTTATCCAAAATTCCCTTGCTGTAAGGAGGTTCGTTGTACAGGATAAATCCTTTCTAAAACCATGTTGTGCCATGTTCAGCAAGTTATCGGTTTCCATAAATGCCGTTATGGTCCGTTTGATTATTCTTTCCAGTATTTTAATTACCACACTGGTGAGGCTTACGGGTGTGTAATTCGATGGAACTTGTCGTGGACCTGTTTTATGTATGGGAGTGACGATTGCGTTCTTCCAGTCCCTAGGTAACACCCCTTGGTCAAGTGACATATTGAATATCACATTCAGTGGGGCCGCGATATACTGGGCAATATGTCTCAAGATCTTGGGGTGTAGTTCATCTCGTCCTGTTGACTTCTCCATGTTTAGGGTGCTAAGAGCCTTAAGCACATCGTTTTGGTCGAAGTCCACATTGAGCAGCTGGTTTGTTGACTCTATATTTGGGTCTGGTTTTTTCTCTAGAGGAGGTTCTTGAGTGAAAACTGCCAAAAATAGTCAGCCATAGCCTCTGCTTTTTCCTAATCTTCCTCTATCATTTCAGCTTCACTCCCTTCTTTAATTAGGTTGGGAATCCAATGATTCATCTTTGTTCTATAGTTTATGTACGAGAATATTCTCTTGGGCTGCTTGAATTCAGATTGTGCCAGCTGCATATCATACTTTCTTTGAGCTTCCCGAATTTTAGTTATACACGTGTTTCTTATCGATCTGTAGCGTTCCTTCGTACTTGCTGTGCCAAGGCAGATAGCAGCACTCCAATATTTCTTCTTTTGTCTTAGTAGACGTCGAACATCCCGGCCTATCCAGGGATGGTCGTGCTTCTTCTTCTTCGGGACTGTCCAAGGTATGTATGGTTGAGTTACCCGATTGTATAAGTGCCTGAATAGAGTCCATGCCTCTTGTACTGTTGACCATGAGTCAATTTCCCAGTTTTCATCCGATGCTGTGGAGTTGATTGCCTCCATACCTGCCTTCCATATATTAGGACGAGCCGGCGCAACTGTTTGACAGGCAATCTCATCCATGAATTTGAATAATATGACTGCATAGTCACTTCTCCATAGTGGTGGGAGAAAAGTCATTTGACCAACGTCATCACCGTGTGTGAAGACTAAATCTAAAAGAGGAAGATTTTCTTAAGTCATATCTTGTGGGATTTCTAATGTGTTGGAATATGGCTAATGCAATCAAGGCTTCTAATAGTTTGCAATCGAATGACGTTATCGATGACCCTACTTTTAAGTTAACCCAGTTTATATACGGTGCATTAAAGTCGCCTACTACAAGGCTTTAACCTTGTTACACCAGGACTTGAGTTTACTTAGGGGAAAATCATCTACACATTCTGAACTGTAATATACTACAACTAATTCAATATTGAATCGATTGTATGGTTTCACTGATTTGCACCACGACTCATCTGACATGACCAAGATACCGAAGTACTCAGCGATAGACCACGCACCCCGGAATGTGCTTTGAACCAAAATACAATTTCGTTACCGTTTCACTGAATAAGTAAAGAAACAATGATGCCCCCAAATGCCCTAGTATGACCGAGAGTTGGGTGGGCCCTCCTTCTCTCTCGAAATGCTCTGACACGGCCACGTGTATACAGCCTCTGCCAGGGAAGTCCTACTCACTGCCTCCTCTTGGCGGGGGTGTTGTTTACGAAAATGAGAGAACGAAAAGCGAATATCCGGCGCTTTAACCGGATTCCAAATCAATGGTGCACATGTGCTCCAGTATCCTGCGGGAACAAATGGAATATGAACCAATTGTTGGTCACCGGCTACCATGGAACTGCATCTCCTAACGATGCTCCACTGCCTTGTGGGTCAGACCCTTAGGTCAAAGGCTCGGGGTGTGGCCACCTAAGAAAACCACATGCTTCGGCCTGAGCACCCGGGCAGCATCACAGCCTACACACAAATATTATGATAATGAAAATGTGTGGCGCATAAGTATTTGGTGCCCTCTTGTACCAATATTTGTGTTCAAATAATAAATAATAATTCACTGATTTAAAGTTTTCTATGCATACTATATTCAGTCGAGTGGTATTTTATGTGTCATTGAAAGTAAAGTTGCTTTTCACAATTACAAGAAATTTATAAAATTATGTTCTGCGGAAGGTGAATACTCCTGTGGCATTGTTAGCAATAATGGTTCATATCAATTAACGTCTCGGTCGTTCATTCAGGGTTTAAATTAAGCGAAGACTTTACATTCGTCTTTGAAATCTGACTGGTGAAAGGGTTGTTGATCAGTGTCTGTGTAATTAGCAATAAAGCTCAAAACCAATAAAAACTGTATAAAAACGTTCATTCTAACTGTATATATTATCCAATACTTCTGTATTTCTGTCTCGTCTTTATCCGTCTATTACACTCTCAAGCGATTTGTTGCCCATATTCACTTTATTTCTCCTGTTATCGTTTTCCTCTTGATGATGATTTCAATTGGTGAACTATCTGGGGGGGGGTTAAGCACATTTTTAACTTCCATTTCTTATATTACAAAATTAAACTTTCAAAATGTATGTAGCACCAGTAAAATGAAAACACTAATTTTAAATTTTCTCCATTTAATCAGCCCCTCGAAGTTCGTGAGTTTGACCGTCCGGAAGGTTCTACACGCACAAAACCTATTCAATCACAAAAGGCTGAAGTCCTGGGTTGGTTTTCTGGGACACATTACGCAGTAGACCACGAGAAACTTGTAAGATTTTATTATTTTTTGTTGTTACTGCTTTATTATTTGGAACAAATCGGTTATTTATCAAATATTGTTGTAAGTAATGATCTTTGTTTAAATCTAATGTTTGTCATATATTTTTATGGTGTAGTTTTCACCTGGTTTGGTTTGAGTTCCTAAACTACAATTCAGTTATATCTCAGTTACCTCATTCTGTAACTTGGACAGCAACAGGATATCGGCTGTCCCATAACTTTACTCAATGTATTTTAAGTGATTTAAAGTTGCACTTCGAACCCAACTTATTTTCTCTCATGTTTAACGCATCATGACCATATTCTTGTATCACTATTCAAACCATGTATGTAAACAACAATAATACAACGCTTATGATGCTGGTCGTGTACGATTAGCAACAATTAACCAGTATATCTTAAAGTTGTGTTACACACATATAATGAAGAAAACGAAGATAATTGAAAAATATACAAGTGGTTCTTGGACACATGTCTCTCTACTATCTCCACAAATCCATCAATCGGGTTTGTATCTCGTACATTACGCTGAAAGAATTGTTAAATTATTTCTATTAGGTTGTGATTTACTTCGTTAGCTTAATTGGAATTTTTCTTAATCTGTCAGTTTACAAAACTAGTTCATATGGATCACTTGTCTTCTATTTACTAGTTCTATTTCGTTCCTAATAACGCTGTGATTGTTAATGCTATATACTGAAGCTCTGTATTGGGCACCTCGATTTATCTAGAAATTACAGCTATCAGTAAAATCACTCACTCTGGAAATGTATAACAGTCTACTTAGTGGTCTGGTTAGTCATCGGATATGTTAGATTGTACACTAGCGTTTGAGTTAACCAGTTAGTAACTGTTGTTCTTTCATTATTGTCTATACTATGTGGTTTTCTTCATCCATAGCCATTTCTGCTTTCCGAAACTAATGTATTTATATATATTCATAATTATTTATTCATAAACTATGGTTTTGACTTAGTTTTTCCTTATCTAAACTATATAGACTGGATTAGCCTGGTGTTTGGAAGAGGGTTTACGAGTAGCACGTGATATAGGTGGATCTGACCCAGAACGTATGAGTGCAAAGAATATAGTGACGTACCTTCAAAAAGAATTGACAGAACCTGTTCAGATGACTGATTGTCCTGTCGATCAAGGGCTTTACCCTCTGGCAGCTATAGTAGATCGTGGAAGTAAGTTCTTTTCTTTAGCTTGACAGCAAAATAATGAAAAAAAACAGCTCAACTCATTTGTGTACTACATGTTTACATATATTGAAAATATCTAATAGTTTTCCATGTGCAAATGATACCACTAATCTGTCATTAGGACTATCGAACGTAGCGTGCTTCACATTCTATACTTTCAAGGAGTTATGATAATATTAATTAAATTAAACGGAGCTCTGCAGATCCGTTCGCTTGATCTGTCTATGCCGCATCCAAAATTCACTTAAAATCTCCTAGGTATATTGTTAATGTTCATGGTGTTAAACTTAGATGGCATGGGTAAGCTTTAACACAAGATTGATAAGCTGAGTATTATTCTTGCAGACTGTCTTGTCTGTAGTGGCCGGTGGCACCCGGTCCTTACGAAGTGAAGGTTCTTGAGGAACTGTTCGAGCTCCGAAATTCACCAGGCCTTAACGATGTGACTCTGACTTATTCTAAAAATGATACCGAACACCTGGTCACGAAACTAACTTGTTTGTTTGGAAATGTTAGGAAAACAGTGCCCTAACATTATGGAATGAAGCAGTCATCATCTCTATGTTTGAAATTGACCTGTCTTGTTAATACACTGATTACTGTTGGACACGTTTACTTTCGATCGTATCCAAACTGTTAACGTTCGTTGTACTTCGCAAACTGTACAAAACTAATGACATTGACTGATTTTAGATCAAATTGTTAATCATATCACCGTCCGGCGAATGTTTTTGATTTTCCACACTTCGTGAAGGCTAAAAATCTATTTTCCTTGACATGAGTGGGATATGATTGCGCTTTGGGATTGTCTTTTGTAGCAGTGTCCCTTGAGAAGTTTACTGATATTTTGAAGTTTGTACACAAACACATCAGACAGAGTGAAGGTATACAAGCACCTCTCTCCATTGCTTTATTCATGCAATGAGGTTTGGCACAGTTGCCCAATTTCACCACACTTCAACTTTGGCATCGACGATATTCTGGAAACAGATCTGACGTAAGTATTCCCCAGTACCTGGGAAATGGCCCTTCGACTTTTTCTCTGCTTGTTAATTATCATGATTTGCATCCTACTTCAAACAGCTATTCTTACAAAGCCACGTAACCTGTATTAATTGAGTACACTAGTTTACCAGAATTTGAACGAACCCAACCAAGCGGAAATTCGACATTAAAGCATGTGAATTTAGGATTGCCAAGGATAATAGAAATTCGATATTATTTGTGAGACATAAGTGAAGTGAAGTTTGTTTACTCAACTATGAATGGATACTACTTCTTGCTGAACTGTTATATGGACGACACTTCTGCCTTTTGCGACGAGAATGTTCAATTAGTTGAAATTCTTCATCCTCTTAGTACATGTCATCCTTCCCGTGATTCCAAGTTGGAAAATGTAGTAGGCCGTACTATTTCATTGCTCAATAAGCTTCTGACAGGGAGGTTCCAACCGTTGCCGCCCCCTTGACGTAGAGGTCGGGCTTGCCTATCGTGATGACCCAACCGAGCTATATTGGCTGAGACATTTGTTCCTGTAGGTTCTACCATGTGAGGCAGGTCGATTGGAGAACGGTAAGACTAAAAGCAGCAACTCAAGGTCTGAGGGCGAAGTCGTACTGCTGACTGTGACAGCAGTAAGGTGTTTTCCTCAGACAACCGGCATCTGCAGCGATTCTGCCTTCCCACAAGGAGGGGCGGGGAATCTAAGAAAAAAAAGTGAGGAACGTAAAAAAGAAATAATAATAATTAAAAAAACCAATAATGAAGAGATTGGTGTAAGGGAATGTAGTAATAATCATAGTCATAATGGGGGAACGGAAGGTACAATCAGAACAAATCTTTCAGTTAATGAAGAAGATACCACTTTTATGAAGAAAGCAAAAGGTTACAGCAGGATCGCCAATGGCTTCTATTCCGAGCCATATCTGATAACGTCTCTAGCCATTGTGTAGCACCATCTCTCGGACCCCAACCAAGGAGTCGTGAAAGACCAACAGAAGCCGGCCCATTCCAGCTTTCTTTCATACCACGACACCATGTCATATACTGACCACCTCTCCACCTTTTCCAACCAGTCCCAAATAATGCAAGACGTGGAATTCTCTGGGACGACATTCCTAGAACATGTCCAAGCCACCAAAGTCGGTGTTTCAGGATAGTGACACCAATCGCATTATCGTCTCTGTGCCCGAACACACGATGCTGAACCTCTGCATTACTAACATGGTGTTGCCACTGGATTTCAGCAATCCTTCGGAGACAACGATGAACGAACACAGAGAGTCGTCTAACGTCCTCAACTCGGAGAGGCCAGGTTTCACAAGCATAGAGCAAAACTGCTCTAACCGACGCGTTGTAGATCCGACTTTTTACAGCCAGGCTAACATCACGAAGGCGCCAAAGATGGCCCAGATTGGCATAAGCCTCTCTTGGCTTCTACTATACGTGCATTGATCTCATCACTCACACCCCCACCAACACTTATGCAGCTACCCAAATACATGAACTTCTCGACTACTTCTATCTGCTCACCATCCAGAGTGAGTACGGGATTAGAATCCTGCCAGTCTTGTAGAAGTACTTTGCACTTCGAAGGTTCAAAGCTCATACCGTACCTACGGACACTGATTGCCAACTAATTAAGTGTGGATTGCATGCCTTGGGCATTATCGCACAGTAAGACAATATCATCCGCATACTCAAGGTCGAGAAGTCTTTCTCCAGGCAACAGATCCATAGCGCCATTACCTACATCCATCAGGGCTGTTTCCAGAATGTCGTCGATGGCAAAGTTGAAGAGGAATGGTGAGATTAGGCAACCCTGTCTAACCCCACTGTTCGAATGGAACAATGGAGAAAAGTGGTTTTATGCCCTCACTCTGCCTGAGGTGTTTGTATATAGGGCTTTTAGGATGTTAATAAACTTCTCAGGCACACCCTTCTTCAATAGACAATTCCAAAGAACAGTCCTATCCAACGAATCGAAGGCAGCCCTGATGCCAAGAAACTACGATTGTTGGCTTTCGATAAGTGTGGCGGTGTCCTAACATTTGGCGGAGGGTGAAGATATGATCAATATATCCTCGACCAGAACGAAAACCAACCTGTTCTTCACGAATCAATCTTTCTCGGGTTTTGAACAACCTACAAAGTATGACGGAAGCCAATGGCTTGGACGCAATCGGAAGTAGACTTATCCCCAGATAGTTGTTACAGGAACAACGTGAACCCTTTTTAAAGATAGGGACAACTATCGACTCATTCCATGACGTTGATACACTCTCTAGCTCCCAAACCTTTGTAAACAACGTCGTCAGTTCCTTAGTCAGAAAGTCACCGCCATCTTGAAAAGGCGCCGGAGGTAAGTCATCTGGGTGAGGTGATTTGTAGCGCTTCAAGAGTTGGAGTTCCTTGCGGACTTCCTCCTCATTTGGTGGATCAGTTGTCACCTGCCATGGGGGCAGGACAGTCTGACCGATGTTGCCGGAGCAGCAGGCTAGTTGAACTGCCCTTCGAAGAATTCTGACCATCGTCCAAGACGTCGATGGATGTTAGCAATTGGCATCCCATCATCCTCACAGATTGTTTCGCTCACACCAGACCTCTTGCTGCCAGTGGCTCGGATGAGTTGGAAGAGCTTCCGGTAATTACCAGATGAAGCTGCTGCTTCCAGCTCATTAGCACGCTCCGACCACCAAGCTTCTCGGTCCTTACGCAAGCTTTTCCCAATTTCGCTACGTAACAACCTTCGTTTGTGGTCAAACCCTCGGTCACCCGGAGTAGACCGACGGGCTTCAATGAGTTGTAAGGAGCCTGAAGAAACCCAGTTCTTATAAGCGGGACGTTTCGCAAACCCACAACTGACTGTACCCGCCGTTTTCATGGCGTCATGCAATTGCAACCAATGCTCATCTATACTTTTCGGTGGAATGGTAGCTAGCTCGGTTTGATACTTGCAACAGAAGTTGCAACCAACTTGCTAACATCAATCCGTTGGTGGCGGTCACTTCGTTGGCCACTGAAAACTAAGGCTAGATCAGAGTCCAGATAGGTACTCCAAAAGGAGTGGCAGTCTTGTACACAACCACGCCAGCGGTAACTGATCGCAATGTGATCAATCTGAGTCCACGCTTGATATGCAGAAGGAGGACGCCAAGTGGCACATCGGCGATGACTGTGCCGAAAGTTAGTGCTAGCCAGAAACAGGTTGTGGTCTGTGCATAGTTGCAGTAGACGGTCCCCGTTATCTGTCCTGCGACCAACATGTCCCCATCGGCCACCTAAACGACTCTCTTCTGTGCCTAGACACCCGACCTGAGCATTCAAGTCTCCGGCTAGTACTACAATATCTGTCGAACGCACTTTCTGGAGAAGAACAGATAACTGGTGGTAAAACTCATCCTTGATTGCATCCGGGCTGCAATCTGTCAGGGCATAGGCGGAGATGACGAGAAGACATCGTTTCTCACGCCGATTTCTTCTCACTTTGATGGAACTCTAATCTAACAGCACATAACTGACTGTTGATGGGGATCCAATCGATTAGTGCTGCTCTAGCGCTTAGTGCGACACCAACGCCAGCAAGACCAGACGAAGATGCCACAGGGTCCCCGGATAAGCGCACTTAAAACAAGCTTTTTGAAGCGACAGATGGAGATCGAATTTGTAGTCTTGAGTCTTGAATACGGGTCTCGGATAGACAACAAACATCAATATTAAGATTTTCCAAAGACATAGCCAGCCCTATCTGTTGTCCGACCTGCATAAATGTGCGAACGTTGAAGGCAGCCAGTTTGAATGGTGCACGTGGTTTCAGAAAAACTGCTTCAGTCCTCGTATTCGGTGCTAACATACAATTTTTAATTGGACATTGACTCGAGAACGTTTAGATAAAGTCGAATTTCCACCATAGACGAGCTGCTGTATAAGTCGAAAAAAATAAGTATAGACAGAGTAGGAATAAAAGAGGGTGAATAATGATGTAATAGATAATAATAATAATAATAATAATAATAATAATAATAATAATAATAATAATAATAATAATAGCAATAATATTTTAATCATTTGAATGTTTGTCGAAGCAAGAGAATTAGTTTCCATGATCATAGACAGTTCACTTCATTAATTGTGTGTGGGCTGTGATACTGCTCGGGTGCCCAGACCGAAGCATGTGGTTTTCTTAGGGGGCCACACCCCGAGCCTTTGACCTAAGTGTCTGACCCACAAGGCAGTGGAGCATCGTTAGGAGATGCAGTCCCATGGTAGCCGATGACCGAAAATTGGTTCATACTCCATTCGTTCCCGCGGGATACTGGAGCACATGTGCACCATTGATTTGGAATCCGGTTAAAGCGACGGACATTCGCTTTTCGTCCTCTCATTTTCGTAAACATCACCCCCGCCACGAGAAGGCAGTGAGTAGGACTTCCCTGGCAGAGGCTATATACGCGTTGCCGTGTGAGAGTATTTCGAGAGGGAGGGCGGACCCACCCCGCTCTCGGCCATACCAGGGCATTTTTATTAACGAATATCTAAATACATGTTCCTCAAGTACTTTTGTATTTGACCTTTTATATCCACACTGTTTTTAATGCTAGCAGTCAAAAGAATATATGCGAAGTTACTAGAATATATATTTCATTAACATACCGGAGTCAGGCATAACATTACAGAAAGGTTTTCTAATTTTGATATAACGCTCCTCACTAGTTTGTGAAGTTGTGCATTGATAGTCTTAGTCGTCTCTCTGTTTTCTGGTATTGAAATATCTAGTACTTTGAATAAAGATCTTGGATGTTTTAGTTCAATTAATCACGGAGACCCTTTTTCATTCTTTATTTTAATCTAATGTATGATTACCCTTTATTTGTTTCTTTCCCACTTAATGCTATTCTTGGTTATTTTAATATCTTACACTTTTGTGAAATGTGGCTCCGTCAGTCATAAACAACAAAGGACCTGGGAAGAATCTGCATTAGTCCAAGTTGTCACGTAACATAGCACGATGTAACTAACAAGATGTATGGCAAAAATACACATGTAATAGTATTATTGATGAAATGGAACATTTAATATTCTATCTGAAGTAGGTAATGAAATCAATTGTTATTTACTGTTAGACAGTATTTTAACTCATGAATAATGGAGAGAAAAAGAATAAATACATCTGTATTTTCTTATAACATAATGCATCTAATCACTAGTAATGACTATCATGAGAAACTCAACCTAAAAGGTGAGCACAATAATTGATTTGGCGGATTAAAAAAAGGCAAAATGGGATTTTCACTCATTGTAATCTTTGTTCAACATTACTTCGGTTTTTAATTCTATCTGATAATTATTGAGAGTAATTTTTGTTTTTGTTTCCCAGTGTGATATTTTATTCGTCATTAACATTGGTTTATTTCAATGGGATGTTTACTCAAGATATGACTTGTACTGGTTTTTAGTATTCTGACTTCACGTCGTAGGAATTGTAGTGGTTCCTTAGTTTTCAATTATGAAGGCTAAGCGACGCGGATTGAACAATCGTCAATCAGCACTAAGCGTACTGATAGACTAGTGCACCATGTTTTCTTAATTGTCCCATTTATCTATTGAAATATAATTGTAATGTTTTGTGTTTTTTAATTACTCATAGATAATGAAAGACATCGTGGTCACGTTGTACACTTAGAATACAATGGATCTACAGAATCACAGATTGACCCTCAGCAATTAGTCAATTTGTTTTTAGTTGGTAAAGGTGTTACCTATGATACAGGTGGCTCAGATCTTAAAGTTGGAGGTATTATGGCTACGATGCATCGGGATAAATGTGGTGCAGCTGCTGTTGCTGGATTTTTCAAAATTTTAAACTTATTGAAACCGAAAAACTTAAAGGTTATAATTGTGAATTTGATTTTTATGCAGTTGATTTAATAGGGTTTTTCTGAACAGTTAGTTACAACAGTGTTTACATTATTTTGTAGTATTCATTAATTGAACTTGTTGTTGTTTTTAAAATTACTACGGTAAACGTTTAGAGTTTTCACATTTGCTTACTAAAGAATATGGAACACTAGTTCATTAGATACTTATTTACACCTGTTACCCCTCGCGGAGGAGCATAGGCCGCTCACCTGGTTGTCTAATCAATCTTTGATCCGGTTCACATCACTGTTGAAAAGGTGTCCTGGTAGTGATAGTAGTGTGATGCGTCTGTAGTGCTCGTGCATGCTGAGATCTTTTCTTTAGACTCTTGATGATGTCTTTCCATTTTATCGTCACTTGTTCTTGCTCCCTCACTGATTGTTTTCTACGAGATGTGGTTGTTGAGCCCATGCTCGGCCCTCCTTTATTCAGGCTTGAGACCGCCAGTAATCCTAGAAGGGCTTTCGGCGGAGTTTTACAGCGTTGGATTGTAGGTAGAATAAAATAAACAGTACCTGGTTGATATTACGGTATAAAACATTTAGTGACTCTCCTTGACATATTCCTTTTAATAACTAACTTATTCTGATCAATATTTGTCCTTCTAAATGATTCAACCCAGTTATTCACTTTATGTATCTATGGCATGTCGCATTTTACTTCCCTGATTAATTATCTGTTCAGTCAGATTAAATTTTAAATCTAATAACCTTCAACATGTTTACAAAGTTCCTTTTCATCAGTATCAATTATAAGAATGTGATCAATGATTTGTAACTTATTTTGTTTACCTGAAGGTGATATTCATCAAACAAGTGTTTGTCTTCTGTTTTTCTTAGGTGCATGGTACTTTAGGTTTAGTTCGTAACAGCATTGGTGAAAATGCTTATGTAAGTGATGAAATAGTAACTTCACGTGCTGGAGTACGGGTTCGCGTGAACAATACTGATGCTGAAGGTCGAATGGTTATGACTGATTTATTATGTGAAGCTAAGGAGAAGGTAAGTGAATAAATGTATATTTGTCTTATTTATGTACTTTTGTCTTTTTTGTTTCAAAATGAAGCGTATAAAACTAAATTTTCACAAGATATTATTTCTGTCTGGTTGACTGAACAATCGTCCATTTTGTCCCACAACTACACTGAATTATTTTATTATGATCTGCACTTGGAATAGTTTATGTACACAAGTGTAGATGTAATCTTACAGTGTGAGATTATAATTGTTCTGTCCGAGCAGCTATTAATATCCCATACGGTTGATCACTGAGTAGCAACGACTCCCATGTTTATGTAATTCTTAACGTTGATTGCATTCGGCCGATCAAGTTACAACATGGTTACTTATATAGGTTACTTAACCGCTTGAACTTTTTTGTTATGTTGTGTATATGAAGGCGCTTAGAAGAAATTCTTGTAATGCGGATTCAAATCCCAGGGAGGTTATTAGTTCTTTTAAGTCCGAAAACACACGCTGCTATGTGTTATCCATTGCCTCAGTCGAGTGGAGCACGATGAATCAAACTTGATTAGATAGATCGAATCGCTAATATAACAAATGCTATCGAACGACACCACAACTAAATACACATGTGTAGAACAGACTCATAACTGAAGTTAAGGCAAGCCTACGAACTGATGTTTTTATTTCAGTAATATTCACATGACCTTGATTAAGCAATAGTAAAATAATTAATTCAGATAGGTCACCAAAACGAAGCAAAGCTCTTTGCAGCTTAACATCAAGATGCTACATGGGAATACAAAGACAACAGTCTAAAATAATGATAACTACAGTGGTGGTCTCAAGAGTTTTCTTTTTAATATCACAACAGTTGTTCGAAATATACATTTACATCTATTTTGTAGGCATTGAAAGTACCAAATCCACGACTACTGACAATCGCTACTTTGACTAGTCATGTTGGATTATGCTATGGACTAGGATATACGGTAATGTTTAGGCTTATTTATTGAATGGTTTTGTGAAATCCTTTCCAATGAATATTACTATGTATTATAATTGAGTTTATAATTTTATTATAAATGACAGACTAAATTATGCACAGAATACATCGTATAAATGACCTAGATTTAGTGTTCTTTCAAAAGTCTGACTAAAATAATTAGGATTACAAATGGATGATCAAATAAAGTATTATTGAACTTGTGAAAATCAACCTGAACCAATCTTATAATACACCGATAACATGTATGCAAATAAAATGTGGAATATAATAGTTTATTTGTAAATAATTTGTTTAATTTTACCTTATCTAGTGTTACTAAATAATCATTGTGTGACAATATATAGTACAGTCATTTGTTTATAAGTGTCAATATGCAGATGAATAGTTTTAATCGTATGTACACATCGATCTAGTTTAAGTTCATGATAATAGGTTGTTTCTGGAGGTTTATAAACATATAGCGAAATTAACTGCATTATTATCTAGAAATAAACTAAACTTTCATTTCAAAGTAATCGTATAGTTTCCAAGCTTGACTTATATTTACAACTTTCCACATGTCTAGAAGAGAGTTGTTGACTGATTCATAATGAAAGTTTGTGTACCAATTATGTCAGTTACAGTAATTGGTCTTTCCCTCTGTTATTACTCAATTTCATTCTAGTTACTAATTAACTACAAACATATGATTAAATGGTTATTTCATTGAAATCAAAAATCGATCCAAGTTATACCAGGATTAACAACCTGGTAGAATTAGAAGGCTGTTTCTTCCTAGAATGGAGTACTTCAACAGTGCGTATCCACGACTATGTACGCATGAATCGTGTCCAAAGCCTTCGTTCACGCGCGCGAACGATTAATCTCTAGACCGTTAGCTTAGACTTTATGATGTACAAGTCTAGCTTCAACCAACTCGCAATATTTCACAACCATCCTGTCTCATCTAACATGGTTGAACACCCGTGATAGCTCACTGGGATTTTTTTCTTAAAACTAGTCACTAGTGAGCACATGATTATTGCCGAAATTGTATTGTGGCATTCGCCAAAGCATCAAAGTTACTGTCAAGAGTTTCTTGGCATTTTCTTTTTCATCGATAGTAACCTATGTAAATCAGTGCATTTTTGCTGATGTTCTACTACTGACGAATCTTGAACTGTTTGCTCTAAAAAAACTATCTACTAATTATCCTAATCTGTAGCTCAGCAACCCAACTCTCTTCACTGCAGACTAGTTTATTCCATTTTTTACTTCACTTTCAAATCTTATCATATTACACAATCTTTTATTCTAGATATTCCTACAGATGTATATAGTTCTCATAAGATTCATTAGCTATGGCGTTTCCACGTTCTACAAAAATTCTGTTTAAATTGCCTAAATAAGTCATTTCGTCCCATTTTTAATGTGTACTCATATTAATCATTGTTTATAATAATGGACATTTGCCATGGATTTTTTTTTATTACATCTATTCACTAAGTCACGCATATAAATACTTTCTTACTTTATGTATCTTAATAAGTTTTTGTATAGGGTTTTATACATCTCAATTTCCGGTTTCTTATAATACATAATGCTAATAGTACTAGAAGAAAATCAAAAATCAAATTAAATTTATGTTGTGTCGCGTAAATAATTCTTTACAATGATTTCTGATACTTCAACCTCTCTATCTTATCAATGAATTACTTGTGTTATAATCATCTGGGTCTACTTTCATGTATTTCTTGTTTTTGTATATTCTTATGGCTTTTGTTTTCTTTATAGGGTATCGTTTGTAACGGTCCGGCTAAAGAACTTGGAGAAGATTATGACTATCAGTTCGCTGGATCATTGTTAGGTGAAATGCATGAAGTGCGTTAAATTAAGTAGTAGTTAGATTACGTTGTTTTTTCTTTCGCTAATTCTTTTATGCTATTATGGTCATACGTACAAATCGCTTAACGAAGTAAAGAAATATAACTTATTATGAAAACGATTTGTAGTGAAAGATTCTGAATTTGTATGTGTGGTGACGTATTATTAATTCTTCGCTCTTGTTGAATCAGTACTCTATAATATTGTACTATACATCATGGACTAACCATAGATAACCGCTAAAAGTCAGTAGAAACTGGACTGTCCTCGTTGTGAGATTCAGAGGTCATGAGTTTGATCCCTTGCTGGGTGGCGAATGTTCTCTTTTCAGAAGTCCCATATTAGATCGTGACACCTGTTCAGGACTTCCTGGATATTATCGGAAAGCCTCTTATGTATAGGGTAGCCCTATGCTATGTAATTGAGCCTATTTTTAACATATACTCCTCATGATCGCACTTATTAAACTGTGTACATTATTATTTTATGAACGATGTGCTCATAGTTGATGAGGTGTTCCTGTATTGAGATGGTGGCAGTTTTGTGTTCTTCATTGAAAATCTACACCAGGTAGTGTTTTATAATGTATCTAGATGGCGTTTGCTTCATGTCCCCAGTGTAAGGTGTCAAGTAGACTTATAAAGATACACATCAACTTGACCCTAAGCAGAGGTTTGTGTTTTAACACATTCATAAATGATAAACCTGTTGTAGAAGACGATACGAAACATTGCATAATAGATATTTTTCTCAGATATTTTGAAATTGATCTCTCCAGAATTTCCTCAGCAGCATCTCTTTTAAATTCTATATTTATGGGAGAACTCTTCTTTGATACTGTAAGTACTCTCTGAAGTTGGCGTTTTGGCTTCTGCTTTCGGTCAATAAATTTGGTAAGATAACCCTTCTTTCTTAGTAATTATGGGAGTTTAAGTAGTTTATCTTCGATAAACCTGTATTTAATAAATGAGCTGCATTATAATATTAGTAGTTCAATTATCTTATTTTAAATGTTTGATTTGAAAGCATGTTTTTTGCAATTTACTATTCAACTACGTTAACTTGCTGATATGTTATTATTATTGTTAAATAATTATAAACTTTCAAGATATCAACACTCCGACGTGAAGATTATGATGCGCATAAAACTGATGAAGAATATTCTGATCTATTGAATTCTGCTCGCCTGATTGGTGGAAAACGTAGTAGAGGGCATCAGTCTCCAGTCGCATTTATGATTATTGCATCTGGTTTGGACTCCGTACGTCCTATCTATTTTTTATTATTTAAAACAATTAGTCTTTTTGATATCTTTCAAGAGTGTACTAGGAAAACGATGTGATGTTACGGAGAAGAACATTGAAGAATGTTTATGCTATGAATTCATAAATCCATGGATAGGTCATAGTATGTTGAGACTTACTACACTTTTGACACCGAAAAAGTTTGTCTACATCACCCTACCATTCAGAGATTAGTCTAATAGCCTTTTGTTGAAACATATCATTTTCCAGTAAAATGTACTATGTGGCAAAGGTCATTGTTATTGATGAAGCGAGATCCATGCTTCTCTGAGAACCTAAACGGGATGTAAACGACTAAGTCACATCCCACTGTGTTTGTGATCACACATATGTAGGAAGCAGCAATTGTGATTTGCAAATGAGGGTGTTTTAACATGTACCGTCACAAATGGAATCAAATAACCAAATAAAAGTAGATGGTAAGCATCTATCATTATCTCTTTCTAAACTCATAATAGAAACAAGTCATAAGGTTGATATTAACTAATTTCAGGTGGTTTTCTACAAAAGTGTTCAATGGTAAATACTAAGTTATATTGAACCTTTGACCTTACGGAAACTGAAACCCACTTTAATGTGTTCAAATACAGTTTGTTAAGGTTTGCACTATTTTCTTAAACATTATTTTCTTGATTATCATTGTTTTCTCCTACCTTCCATTTGTCAATTTTACTTTTCGACTTTTCGTATATAAATGTTCTTAACAAATATATGTGTGATCAGATTGTTCGAAAAGTAAATTTCAGTCAGTAACAAGGTGGGACTTCGTACATACGTACATCAGTTTGAGTTGCCATGCCACATTAGCACAGAGATGCAGTTGTCGACTCAAATTCCGTAGTGGTACAGGTGGTAATAGTATAAGCAGTAATCCGAAAGATTAGGGTTTGAAGATGTTATTAAAGGAGTGTAATCCAGTGAAATAAATTTAAAAAGAAAATAAGGGACATGAAGAATTCAGAAGATTAGAATTTGGGAGAGCATAAAGAGTGAATGCACTTGCACCATTGCAAACGATTTTGAGCCATGTCATTCAGGGTCTCTAACCATCGGTTGCTATCATCTCGCGGTCCCTAACCAGGTAGTCTACACCTACCAATATGGCTCAGTCCACTTGTCAGTGACTTCATTGACTTGCGCCATGTTTTGGTCTGGCCGCCCTTAGCTTTCTTCCAACCTACTCCTACACCGTAAAACATAGCACGTCGAGGCAGTCGGTGGTTGGGCATACTTAACACATGTCCCAGCCATCTCAACTGATGAAGTTTCACTACGCCATCAATTGATTTGCCATCCTTACTTAGTACCCGTTCTTTTCTCAATGAATTCATTTTCAAATCTGTACAATCCCCAATATATAATTGTTTTTTCCAAAATGATAATTTAAAAATATTAGTAATAAAATTCTGTTAATTAATTAATTAATTCGAACACATTAACTTTGGTACAGTCGGGCGCCAAATACATGTGCGCCACATGATAACAATAATGTTGTGAAGATGTAGAGAATATAAAGTGCTTATAATAAAAGGTAGAACGAACGGCCCCCAAATGCCCTGGTACGGCCGAGAGTGGGGAGAGTCCGCTCTCCCTCTCGAAATGCTCTCACTTGGCCACTCGTATATAGCCTCTGCCAGAGAAGTCCTACTCACTGCCTTCTCGTGGCGAGGGTGTTGTTTACGAAAATGAGAGGACGAAAAGCGAACATCCGGCGCTTTAACCGGATTCCAAACCAATGGTGCACATGGGCTCCAGTATCCTGAAGGAACAAATGGCGTATGAACCAATTGTTGGTCACCGGCTTCCTTGGGACTGCATCTCCTAACGATGCTCCACTGCCTTGTGGATCAGACTCTCAGGTCGAAGGCTCGGGGAGTGGCCCCCTAAGAAAATCACCTGCTTCGGTCTGGGCACCCGAGCAGTATCACACCCCTCACACTTATCAAATGAGATTTGTGTGGCGCGTATGTATTTGGTGCCTCTTTGTACCAATATCTATGTGTTGAAATAAGAAATAAATAAAACGTATGAGCGTGCAATGATAATAATCGTAATAATAATAATGGGAGAGGCAGTTCAGTTAGCAAAAATACAGCCAGAAAAAATTCTTTCAGTTACGTCCATTTTTTACCGAGAAAGTTACAGCAGGATCGGCACTGGCTTCTGTTCTTTACCATATCTGATAACGTCTCTAGTTACTGTGTTGCAACATCTCTAGGACCGCAACCAGTGATTAGTGAAGAATCAACAGAAGTCATTTCTGTACAGCTTTCTTGCATATCACGATGCTATGTCATACACTGACCACCTCTCAACATTTCCAACCAGTCCCAACGTTGTCATTTTCTGGGATGGCACTTTTAGAACATATTAAAGACACTGAATTCAATTTTCCAAGGTAGTGATACCAACTGAATTATCGTCGCTGTGCCCGAACACACGATTTCGAACCTCTGCATTACTAACATGGTGTTGCCACTGGATGTCAGTAATCTGTCGGAGACAACGATAATCAAACACAGAGATTCATCTAACATCCTCAACTCGGAGAGGCCAGGTTTCACAAGCATAGAGGAAAACTACTCTCAATGACGCGTTGTAGATCCGATCTTCTACAGTCAGGTTAACATCACCAGTCTACGAGGTCAGTGCCAATTGAACTGAGTCATATTAATCGGTGGTCACAGACTTCGTTCACATTGGCGCATATACATTTACCTTTTAGTTTCCTTTATACCTTGATTCTCAAGGTATCCTTATGTTTTTTTCTTTTGTTTTTCTACCATTATTGATTTTTCCATTACTCTGGGATTTGCCTTGACTATTTCGTCTCGTCTTACACTTTGTATACCCTAATACCATTCTTATCATCTCAGATAATTTTCGGTTTCAGCCAATCGTGCCTAATGTCCCAGTGAGGATTTTTGTGTAGTTTTATCTCTATTTCCGTCTTACGCCCACTGTTTAGAGAATTTAGTTTATCTAATTTGTAAGTATATCTAATATGTAAGTGGACATCGTACACGTCATTCGATAACCACTGTGATGAAATTGTAACACTTATTATTCGTTCAGTTAACTGGACATTACATTAACATGTATTACTAGTTGTATAAATGCTTTCTTCATTGAATGACACAACGACAATCTTTTTAATCAAAATATTTATTTCTTTATAACTTTCTTAGCATTTGAAAAATACTGAAAAGCCTTTGGCGTACACACATATGGATATCGCTTCAAGTAATGGTCCTTGTCCTGGCATTCCAACTGGTACGCCTATTTTAACACTAGCATCGCGTTACATTCTTCCAGAACAGATGAAATGGCCTAATAGAAAGGTGTAGAAATGAACAAATTGTCGACATTTTTATTAAGTTAAACGTTGATATGAACGATTTTCAAGATAGTAGTAACTTGTTGTTAAGTCGGGTAATAATTTTGATTCACAGCTGATGTAACAATGTACTTTATATTAATTGTTACTTATGGCCCTTTTAAATTTTGGTACTCATGTATTACATCATTTAGTAGTAACTTGTTGTTAAGTCGGGTAATAATTTTGATTCACAGCTGATGTAACAATGTACTTTATATTAATTGTTACTTATGGCCTTTTTAAATTTTAGTACTCATGTTTTACATCGTTTACACCTTTAATCAAACTATCTTAAATGGATTTTTTTAAAGTTCAACGATTTGTTTTCATTATCACGTTCTTGGATTGTTGTGCCGTACTACTCGTAGTTGAACAGTTGTCTTAATTTCTAAAGCGTTTTGCTTTCAACCACTAACTCTCAGGTTTGAATCTCTGTTTGTATGGTCAACTGAATAGTATCACTAACCATTATACATTCAAAATGTTTGCGACGGAACCAAGTATACAAGTCTGAGTTAATAACAAGGAGTACATAGGAAATTGTGTATCAGCATTCCGGGTAGGCAACTTTTTGAAATGATGTTTTTCGTTGCAAAATTTTCAGTTATTTAAGTAGTTTTGGTGTGAAGAAAATTTGTTCGCAAACTCTACAAGTCCCAGATTTTCATTTAAAATCGATTACTGACAGGAAGTTTACTATTTGTAGACCTGATCAAATAATCGTATTTGTTCATTTCTAGTCTATTATGACAGTTTAGCTTTCGCTAAAACGTTGTTTTGTCAATATAAGATTCCTGATTGTAATTCATAGATAACCATTAGATAGAATCTTTGCAAGGTAATGTACTTTATCTGAATATATAATGATTACTTGATTCGATGTTATCAAGCACAAGTGTCCGTAGATACGGTATGAGCTTTGAACCTTCGAAGTGCAAAGTACTTCTACAAGACTGGCAGGATTCTAATCCTGTACTCATTCTGGATGGTGAGCAGATAGAAGTAGTCGAGAAGTTCATGTATTTGGGTAGCTGCATAAGTGCTGGTGGGGGTGTGAGTGATGAGATCAATGCACGTATAGTAGAAGCCAGAGAGGCTTATGCCGATCTGGGCCATCTTTGGCGCCTTCGTGATGTTAGTCTGGCCGTAAAAGGTCGAATCTAAAACGCGTCGGTGAGAGCAGTTTTACTCTATGCTTGTGAAACCTGGCCTCTCCGAGTTGAGGATGTTAGATGACTCTCTGTGTTCGTTCATCGTTGTCTCCGAAGATTGCTGAAATCCAGTGGCAACACCATGTTAGTAATGCAGAGGTCTGGCATCATGTGTTCGGGCACAGAGACGATAATGCGATTGGTATCATCATCTTGAAACACCGACTTCGGTGGCTTGGACATGTTCTAGGAATGTCGTCCCAGAGAATTCCACGTCGTGCATTATTTGGGACTGGTTGAAAAAGGTGGAGAGGTGGCCAGTATTTGACATGGTGTCGTGGTATGAAAGAAAGCTGCAAAGGACTGGCTTGTGTCGGTTTTTTACGACTCCCTCGGTTAGGGTCCGAGAGATGGTGCTACACAGTAGCTAGAGACGTTATCAGATATGACTCGGAATAGAAGCTATTGGCGATCCTGCTGTAACCTTTTGCTTTCTTCATAAAAGTGGTATCTTCTTCATTAACTGAAAGAGCTCTTCTGATTGTACTCTTCTGTTGCCCTACTATTGCTATTATTATTATTACACCACCTTACATCAATCTCTTAGTTATTATTCTCTTTTTTTTCTTTTCCTTCCCCTTAACTTTTCATTGTTTTGTGTGGCGCATTCTTGTACCAATATTTATGTGCTCAAATAAAAAAATAAATTACAACACTGATTAATACTTGATGAAATAATGGTGTCGTTAATTTTGTCACAGATTTCAAAAAATTAAGTAACAAACGGGGTAATCATTTACTAAGTGTTGTATATAGTGCTCAAATATGTTGTGTATTTATTCTGTTCAAATTGCTACAAAGTTTTAAAAATGAATCAACCTTCCACTGTCTCAGGTTTCCTATTTTATACTGGTAATGATATTATCAAATAAATCTTTTACTGAACTTTCAGCTGGGAAAAACTACCATACTCATCAACATACGGAGTATGTTGATGAAATCATGGTAAACACTTAAAACATCCGAAACGTTTTCTTAACAATTATAACTAAATTCCATTTTGTCTGGAATAATAAGAATATGGACAGTTAATTTTAAGGATTCCTATGTTGTGAATTAAAACAACATACGTAAGTAAACAATACTGTTTTCAATTAGATCCTCATCATGCTTTACTCAAATATAGTTGAATTAATGCAGCTAGCCTCTGTCTATCCAGCCGACCGATGGTGATTCTTCAACGAAATGATGATTTGCCTGGTTTTGACATCCAAGTTTATTTACGAATTCAGCTGCTCCTTTGGGGAAATCTATATCGAACGCATAATCAGACAAATAAGCCAATGAGTTAGTAAACACTTACCTTCGTAGTTAGGAAAGGGTATCGTCAAAACAATACTCAGCTTTGTTTCATCACACTTGATTGGCAGTGGTCATGTACTAAGTAGAAAGAGGTCGTTTGAAGTGATTGATTGTATTCCTATTAGTTTTCGTGATTTAGTCCGGTTTCTTCCTTTACTTTTGTCACAAGCTATAGGGATTCGAGCCATTAACCCAAGTCTTTGTATCAATAAGAAGTATGTAACATTTTTATCTCTTCCTTGGCCGAGTTCGCCTTGATAAAAGATTCTGTTTGTTATTACTTTCTATAATCTTCGTTTACTTTTCTTCACTCTCCCTTTTTTAAACATACGCTTCATTGTCCAATTATCTGATCACTTGTTACATAATCTTACAATTTTTAGTGAATGTTATTCCAGTATCTATATTTTTTCATTTTGTGATGAAATGTCGATTCAGGCCTTTGTTATTCTTATCACAACTAGTACACTTATCATCACACTACCAATTTGTACTTTTCACTTATGTAATCTATTCCACTGTTATGTCTGATTCATAAACTGCCTTGATTGGTTCAATAATTTTGTATATGGATATAGCTATTACTGTATATTACAGTAAAGCCTGATGAGAACAGTTAATTACCAAGGCTTATCCGGGTCTAAATAGGACGGTAACTGACTTCGACACAAATGCATTACTTAATTCTTGTAGCCACGCTAATCTGAACTAATGAGGTCGTCAATTAAAATTTTCAAATCCTTCAATTTCGCTAATCACTCCACTAACCAGGACTATATCATTTGCAAGGTGGTAATAGGACTCTTTAATGGGAGATCAATACGTAATAAAAAGTTTCTACCCAAGTTATCTCAAAAAGAAATATACCTCTACCTTGTGACTAATGAGTTTATTTCATTCGTCATCTATACTTTTTTCTACTCAACTTTTATTCCCTTAATCGTTTTTCACATTTTAACTAATATTAACAATTTTCGGATACCTCCTAGGGCACTCTATGAACCAGATGTTGGAAATTACTTTGTCCATCTGATCACGTAAGAGGCTTCACATATCGTAAATTCTAAATCTAAATGCAATCACGCAATTCATATCGTGTGAAAAGGTGTCTATCTTACTAAGTATTGTCTTAAAAATTAATCAGATAACATAAAAACTTAGGTTCATGAAGTGCGTGATTCAGTTTAATAAACTGTATATCTGTTGTTACGAAACAGCTTTTCGATTTGCTGAATCAAAGATTAATATCCAAGTTACACAGATAACCTCAACTATTCAATCGTACTAGTGTCCGATCTGATTCAGATAAGAGCATACGATCGGTAATTTTGGCTAGACAAGTGATTTATACGATCTGCTTTGACTTTGGTGCTGTCGCAATCCTGATTCGTATATCCCTTGAATTAATAAAAAGGTACAACCACTGAACGGATTTCATAGATTGGACAGTTTTTCATTTAAATGAAGCAATCGATAGGAAGGTTCTAGAATTGCATATCAAGTTTATCATCACTTCTTGATAAGATACATCTAAATCCTCCAGGCAAAATTTAATTTAATATGAATTCACATCACTTAATATATTATCACCAAGTTGCTTCCAGTGTCACAGAGATTTCATGGCATCTGAACTGTTTAATAAATGTGAATATCATCGTTCCCAACCCCGTGAGTTGTTGATTGCGAATCCAAGAGCTGAGTGCCAACGTTCTAGATAAAGACATCGTGCAGTACAAGTTTAGGTATTTGATGAAATACTAGATACCTCATAAACAGACCTGCACTTCACTAATAAGTACCCACAAGCACAAAACCTAGATTTTATGCTATATATAATTGTATCTGACTGTATCAAATAAGTTTTCTCTCATACTAACATTCAATATTGTAAACATATTGCAACTTACAGTTACAGAGTTTTCGTAGCCTTCGGGTCTAGATTAGATGATATTATTTACAAATTAATGATCGATTAGTATACACAACCGTTGCATTCATTGAAGTTACATGATAGTTGATGGTTAGTCCCAGGATGTACTCTTCCTATTTTAGACTGTCAGCTGGATATACTGGTATCACAGTGTTCGGATTCATGCTAAAGATCGAACCCGTTATTTTCGGCTCTAAACGTGACTAGTTGATACTATACAGGTAATGCGTTCATAATACACACACTAAAAGGGATTGTTTAATTAATAACCGGAAACGAGGAACTCAAATATGATTATTACCTTTATCCTAACCTTGTTTAGACTAACTTTTCATGTTTACTATACATTAATTGCTAAAATTTCATTAAGTGGTTTTTTATGTTTATTTAATAAATAATTCATTGTTAAGTTTTGTATTATAAGCAATGAACATCAAGTCCATGATGTCTAATAAATTATACACGTATTGTCTTGATTGGCATAAATTCAAATACATAGGTAAAAATGATTTTATTTTAAAAAATAAGGTTTTCATTAAACAGCCACTGAAAACCTGGAAGTATTGGACAGCTATGTTTCTAGTCCTAGTGTGGGACTCTTCGGCGATATCCATCCATGATCTTGACGTGGAGGATCGACCTCAAGTCCTTCGGTATTGAGCCCAATCTCTTACCCTATAGACTACTGAGCTGAAATCTAATGATGTACATTTCTAACTTCAAATAATTAGCGATATTAAGCAACGATCTAATATCTTAGCTCAGTACCTATCTGTCACCCGTAAAAGTTAAGCTTCACCTACCACGGCTAATTTTACTGAGGTTTGTCATTGTGTCTTTACTGCGGGAAATGATTTCCCATGATGATGTATTGATAATTCAATGATCATTATGAGCGTTTGATCAGAACTATAACTTATCTTAGATGACAATTCATATAATGGTGAATAGTGAAACGTTAATCAGTTATTACACGAACGCTAGTATATTGCACAATATGTATTATTCAGCATAAAAAGCAATAACAGAGATTTTTAAATTTTAAAAGATGTGAAGCATCAGGAATCAGTATGTGATAGTTTAGGATATTCCAGGTAATATTGCTAATGTGCGGCTGATTATGTTCATCCGTTGAGTAGGCTCATATTGAACATGTTGTCTGTAAATCACTTAGTCAAGGAAGTTAAGTTTTTCGATATCAGTTTGGAGAAGCGTCAGAGAAATGTGATTCCTATCAGAAAGTTTTATGTTCATATTTCAACCTCACCTCACCTACTTTGGTAGAGGTAGTCGAGTTTTGTCGCTATCTATCATATAGAGATAGTGATCCGAGGGTAATTTCTACACACATACTGACCAGTCGAACCACTGACTCGTGGGTACTTACCTATGTCTGTTGCCCCTAGTGAAGGAACATGGGCCGCCCTTCAACCAATTCTGTTCTGAATCCTTCCTTCCAGTTGTTTTCAGATGTTATACATTCTACTCATAACTGTTTCCAATTCCCAACTCAGTGTGTTCTTTGGCCATCCTCTTTTCCGTTTCTCTTCAGCATTCCGAGTTACTGCTTGCCTCATGATCCAGTTTGATGATTTCCACAATGTATGTCCTACACACTTCCAACGTCTTTTCCTAATTTCCTCCTCATTTAAAAGCTGGCTTGTTCTCTCACACAGTAGGTTGTTGATGATGGTGTTCATTCAACGGAAATTCAGTACATTACGTACACAATTATTTACAAATACTCTTTTGATGATGGTTGTGATGTTGGTACAAGTTTCAGCTCCATACAGTAGAATTGTCTTCACGTTCGTAAAGGTTTGCTGGTAGTGATAGTCGTGTGGTGCGTCTGTAGTGCTCGTGCATGCTGAGATCTTTTCTTTGAACTCTTGATGATGTGTCTTTCTTTCCATTTTGTTGTCACTTGTTCTTCCTCCCAAATCTACCTTAATAGAAATTGGAGCATGTTTGCAGTTACTTCTATGTGACTTCATTGCATCATCTTTTGTTGTCTGGTCCTTGTTCTTTCCCACTCTTGATTTGTCTGATGGCTATGCTGACTTCTTTGGTCGTTGTGATGTGACATCTATGGTAGGGTGTGTGTGGGTGTTGCTTGCATGTCCGGTGTATTCAATGGAGTTGGTCTATTCAAGAGCTTTGCAAAGTGTTCTACTCACTTTCCCCTGTGTTCTTGAATTATGGTGATGGCTTGTCTTCGTTGTTCTTGACTGGTCGCTCTGGTTTACTGTCTCTGTACCAGTTTCTTCGTTATATCATATAGTTGTTTCATATTCCTTTCTATTGCAGCTATTTCTGCTGTCATTGCTAGATCTGCTAGGTATTTCTGCTTGTCGGCTTTGATGCTGCTGTTCACTCGCTTGTTTGCTCCTCTGTATCCGGCGTTTACCTTGGCTTTCTCTGCTCTTGTTTGGCTGTTGT